GATTTAATTCAATAAATTCACCTTCCTGTGCTAACGAAGTATGACAACTTGAACCGGTGTATATACGTGCCACGTTCTACGTCGTGTCCTACTGACTCACTGATTTATTGAAGTACTTAAAATTCCTGTCACTTTCATGATTGAAAGTTTTGTTTATCTGTTATACTGAACAACTTTTATAGGCATCAGAGTGCCTGTAAATGATAGATAGATTAAAACTAATTTATTAGAGAAACCTTATAATTAATTCGTCTAAAATCACTAAACGACTGTAAATATACAGAATCTAGTTTTATAACGAGGTATATTTGGAATTTTAAAAGTATTGATTTAAATATTTTCTCATTGTATAAGGTGGGGGTCTTCTGACTGGTTGCATCAATATAAGATTTTAAACCATTTAGTTCCTGCGAAAATTCTGGCAGACTAACAAACTACACTGTCGAATAGTATCTAAGGTTGTAGGCTAGGTAGTATATTGTGATGCTAATTGAACACAAGTTGTTGGAGTCATGTTACGGACGGAAGAGATGAGGATAGGTGGTAGGAACCATATTCTTATTTAATGACCGATAGTTCCCATGACATAGCCAACAACCTCTATTGTATTTCCATTCAGACATCCAGATCCACGCATATGCATAGAGCTTTGATTATCGATCTTTCCTCATTTTTTCCAAAACCTTGACGAAGCACTCCGGCTTCTTCAAAGTTAGCCGTGGACCTTGTTTCTAACTAATGTAATGTTGATGCTGATTTGTTTTAGACCTTATTTATCTTTGATAATTCCGGTCATTTATCTGAAGCTCATATCAGTTTACCCGGCTAGACGTTGGAATTACCCAAATTTAAAACAGAATCCTTACGTTTGATGTCTTCCACATATTTATGATCTCTACTTTTATTCATCAATAATGATATCTGGTGAGTAATCTCGATTATTTCAAATATTACGGTTTTAGGTTCATTATATAATCAGCTAGTTAGCCAATGGTTCTGTTGGGACTAGATAACGGTTATATCCGGCCATTTTGGTTAACCTAATGACTTTATCGGTCACTGGCGCCGATATGACAAGTCAGTAGGAATATTCTATCTTCGTATGATACGTAACCACACTCATGTTAGTATTTTAGCTACTTATCTACCGTAACATTGACGGTAATTACGTATCTTGAACTCACAACGATAAAACACTGAACTGGGGAACAATTCGAAACTTTCCTCGACGAGTAATAGTTAGACAATCGATGTCCTACTTATCTATAAATCAGTGATGCCAAATATCCAATCAATTTTATAAAGTCACTAAAAAAAGAAATAAGTTCAAATAGTTCTCTGAATTAGAAAATTTCTATTCATACATCTTGTACCGTGCACTGGTACTACTCTTGTGAAGAACACAGGTGAGGACAAGCGATTATGCATTTAGCACGAATTACTTGATAAAATACAAAAACCATACTCTGATACTTCATTCGCAAAATGTTCATTAATGGCCTCAGGCTTCATTGTTTCTGGATTTCCATACCAATCGCTTTCTGTTTCTGTCCTTCCCTTCTCGATCTTCTGCTGCCAGATATTTTATTCCTGACTCAGGATATATACTACTTATGTCGATATAAGTAGCCCACACCACACCCTTATGTACATTCAAGAATAATTGAAGATCTCGAACATAAATCAGTGGTTCATCAAGAAAAGCATGAATCACTTCCCAAATGTTTACACATACACAAATACATGATTAAGTGGTAGGCAGCCTTATATTACATCTTCATGCTTACGTATCAAGAACCATAAAATGTAGACCAAAGCAGCGGGACCAGACAACATCCCGGCAGAGGCACTGAAGGCAAACGTAGCAGCAACTGCCAAGATACTCCACATCCTCTTCAGTAAGATTTGGGATGAAGAACAAGTACCAGTAGACTGGAAAAAAGGACTTCTGATCAAGATACCAAAGAAAGGCGATCTCAGCAAGTGCGACAACTACAGGGGCATCACTCTCCTCTCAATACCAGGGAAAGTCTTCAACAGGGTATTGTTAAACAGGATGAAGGATTCAGTGGACGCCCAACTTCGTGATCAACAAGCTGGATTTCGTAAGGATAGATCGTGCACATATCAAATCGCAACTCTACGTATCATTGTGGAACAATCAATCGAATGGAATTCATCACTCTACATCAACTTCATCGACTACGAGAAGGCATTTGATAGTGTGGACAGGACGACACTATGGAGGCTTCTTCGACACTACGGCGTGCCTGAGAAAATAGTCAATATCATATGGAACTCCTATGATGGACTAAACTGCCAAATTGTCCATGGAGGACAACTCGCCGACTCGTTTGAAGTAAAGACCGGTGTTAGACAAGGTTGCTTACTCTCACCCTTTCTCTTTCTTCTGGTGATCGACTGGATTATGAAGACGTCAACATCTGGAGGAATGCACGGGATACAGTGGACAGGCAGGATGCAGCTTGACGATTTAGACTTCGCGGATGATCTGGCTCTTCTATCACAAACGCAACAACAAATGCAGGAGAAAACGACCAGTGTAGCAGCAGCCTCAGCAGCAGTAGGTCTCAATATAAACAAAGAGAAAAGCAAGACTCCGATACAATACAATATGCACCAATCAAATTACACTTGATGGAGAAGCTTTGGAGGATGTGGAAACTTTTACATATCTGGGCAGCATCATTGATGAACACGGTGGATCAGATGCAGATGTGAGGGCGCGGATCGGCAAAGCAAGAGCAACATACCTACAACTGAAAAACATCTGGTGTTCAAAACAATTGTCAACCAACACCAAGGTTAGAATTTTCAATACAAATGTCAAGACAGTTCCACTGTATGGGACGGAGACGTGGAGAACTACGAAAGCCATTATACAGAAGATACAAGTGTTCATCAACAGCTGTCTACGCAAAATACTTCGGATCCGATGGCCAGACACTATCAGCAACAAGTTACTGTGGGAGACAACAAACCAGATTCCAGTGGAGGAAGAAATCAGGAAGAAGCGCTGGAAGTGGATTGGGCACACCTTTAGGAAATCAGCTAATTGCGTCACAAGACAAGCCCTCACATGGAATCCTGAAGGTCAACGGAGAAGAGGAAGACCAAAGAACACATTACGCCGAGAAATAGAGATAGACATGAGAAGAATGAACAAGAACTGGATAGAACTAGAAAAGAAGGCCCAGGACAGAGTGGGTTGGAGAAAGCTGGTCGGCGGCCTATGCTCCATTGGGAGTAACAGGCGTAAGTAAGTAAGTGAGTGACTATCGACTTTCCCATCCAATCATCAACGAGTGAAATTCATTACCCCAGTAAGTGGCTGAGGCTCCATCCGTCGACTCTTTCAAAAGAAAGTTGGATCAACTGAGAGACCACCATTGCCACGGCTAACACAGGCCATCAAGCCTCCTGTCCTTTCCAAACTGAAGCTGAGGATAGTGTATATGAGTCGAAGAATGTTAGCTATAAGTTCATTCTGATTGCGTTTAGTGAGTGCCTGAGCAAATGTTTTGCTAAGCAGCTCACATATTTCTGCCGAGTCCCTTATAAGCACACCACTTACGTTTAGGACAGGTAGAATATCAGATAATAATAATATATGCATAATATGCATATATATTATGCATTCATACTGAATATTACAAATTTATCAAAAATTTATTGTGCCATTTACAGAAGAACGCTTGGAGTTGACTGGTTAACTAAATAGTCCAAACAATTTCTAGTATTAACGCATTTCACTTTCTATGATTAACAAGAACGAACGATATTTATGAAGTTTCGTAAAAGCACCATTGATTGTATAAAATTAAAATTATTTCAAATTTCTGAACAAGGAATCACAGTTGTTATTATTTGCTGACATCGATAAAACTACATTTATTTTGCGATATGTTCTCAATTTCTCTCACCTTATGGCTTTAGTCTGAATTCTACGGTTGGTTATTTTTCCTCCAAAGTAACAAATGTACTCGAACCCATGAACAATAGAAAAAACAGGGATATATATATATATATATGAATAATTAATTTTGCTGCTTTCGAACTTTTGATAAAAGAAAAGTATGAAATAAAAACAATTATGAGAATAGAAACCACCAGTGAGTCAGTAATACAGTACAATGATGTAGTTAATTTATGTTGCACAATAAGGACAATAGTCATAGTGATTATAAGTATTCATATGTCAAATTAATCACCATTCTTCAAAAGAAAAATGAACACGTTTTTAAAAAAAAAGCAAAGAAAATTATTATTACTTAATTATGACAACAGTAGCAGTGAAGAGTAGTAATTGGAGCACTAACAAAGATATATATATATATATATATGACAACTTGATCTTTTTTTCTCTCTATCACTGGTTTAATTAACTAACCAGAGAAATAATTCACAAAAAACAACAGAAAAAGAAAAGCAGAAACATTATTTTTCTTTAAAAATAAACTTACAATTGAAAAGGTGAAAATGAATTTTGATTTTGAGATGTATTTGGTCATATACCAATAACTATGCACAAAAACTACTCAATATTGAAAAGACAAGAAAGGGTGCACATGTATCTATTTCACCATACAGCGAAATATACGTATACATGCAGGTAAACGTATAAACATCTATATATATACAGTTGGAATTATCACTTTCGTGAAAACGAAGTTTTAACTTTTGAAACAAAATAACAAATTGTATCAATGATAGTGGGAAAAAGAGATTAACATGTACAAAAAAATCTGGAAATTGAAACAAGAAAATATGGAATAACTGAAACGTATGGGTTGATATAGATACATATAGATGTATATATATATATATATATATATATATATATATATATAATGCGCTTGTGAAAAGCTACCAGTTACAACAGATTACAAGGTCAAACTTATATGTAGTATAACTGTTATCCTCAAGTGCCGTAAGTATAATATGAGAAACAGGTTGAGAAGAGACGAAAAGTAACAAGAAACAAAAAATCTACTACAGTAAGAAGTGGATAACTCTACATTTTAAAAGCAGACAACTGAGATAAAAAAGAAAGATAAACAAGAAAATGAAATAGAAAGGTAAAAAAATATTGTCGCATCCGTCATCCATACGATTTCATGCATCATATACATAGATAATAAGAGAAAAAAGATTCAGGGAAATAGAATTAACTTAAAATTCTGTAATAGTAGTGATAATAATCAAGCACTGAAAACGAATTGTTTTCACAGCTGACCTCATATTTTTTCCAAAAGATTAACTTTACAATCAATACTAATAAAAAACATTTTTGATGTATACACATACAGTAACAAAAAGGCATTTATGACAAAGCATCCAAGACTAAATAGAAAGACATTCAGGATAAAGTGATCAAGATAAATGACTGTATAAATTGTATCAATGAAGGCGTCGTTTCCGAAATCGTTGGGAATTGGACGAAGTAGACGATTCTGTGACAGTACAATTAGTACAGTCAGTATTATGTGTACGTAAAGATGACTTCGTAGTTCTATCTCTTAAATTAACTCCACTATTGTTTGTATCCGGGTCCTCTGATGTGAGACTAAAAGAGTCAGCTGAAATATTTGCATCTTGTGTGAAAGCATGTTCACGAGAGACACGTGGTCGCAAAGAACGTCTAGTATTAACTCGATCATCTGATTTAATTTGTCTTAATTTTACACCAGAAGAATTGGATCGAAGATTAGTTGACCGGGATGAATTGGATGATTGAGGGGATGAACCACATGATGAACAGGATGCTAGTGTAACTGATGACACAGCTGAAGAAGCCAAACTACCTTCAACTATGCTATTCTCATCAATAGTTACAGATGACTTTTGACAACTATCTGTACATAAACTATTTGAAATAAGTAATGGGCCTTGTGAAGGAGATTCACCAGTTTCGTCACTATGTCGCTGATTTACATTGATTCGTATTGCACGTGAGTTTTTACTTTGTGTAGATACAACGGGTGCTTGAAGTATAGTTGTAGAGTTAGTCAAAACACTTTGTAAACTACAAGAGGCAGAGGAGGTGATAGATGGTAATGACTCATCTGTTACAGGTGGCCTATAAGATGGTGTTAAATTAGCTGATTCAACTAATGGAGATTTTAATTCGACTACACCTGTATCTTTTCCGGTGCAACTTGATTTTGAATTCCCAATAGAATCCCTCATTCTTCTTCTCCTTCGTAGCTTGCGATAGTTCAAAGCGTTATAGTGATGAGCGACACGAATATTATTGTTCGTAGATTGACTAACTCGAGTCAATCTATTTATTAGTGAACTTGAAAGATAAGTTCTCTTTTTAATTGAAGAATTATTAGTCAATGAATAGATGCGTTCAGTATGTATTTTATTAGATACATGTTTATTATTACTGTTATTATTATGGTGAGCTTTTACATTTGACTTTTTACAGCTGTCTGATACTTGTATGGATGAAATATGATTGTGATTAATAACAGATGTATGTTTCAGTTTCATTGCAGATAATACTTGATCTTTTAACATTCCATGTCTAGCTAGGGCAGTGAGAAAAGCTCGTATAAATGGTTCATAATTGTGTATACGTCTAGCATCATCAATACGATAGGATCGACGTTTCTCCTCTTCCTCAATCAAAGCACTAAGACATAGTTTTATTTGTTCATCTATTTTATGCAGTAGGATGTTCAGTTCTTCCACACTTAAAGGCGGAGGATATAAACTTGGTGAATTCTTCAATTTCATGTAATCATAGGTAAATGGTGATAAGTATGTTGAAGTAATATTTGTAGTATTAGTATTAGCATTAGAAGTGGAATGAACCGTAGAAGTCTGTTCAAAAGAAGTGATCCTACCAACTTTTGAAGGACTCGTATTACTGTGAAGAGTAACAGGATTTGAACGAAGATGAGCTAAATTATGGGAAGCTAAAGTATCCATTCGAGTTGAAGATCTTGTTGGATACTTTGATCCTCGATGTGAACTAGTGATATCACTGGATGAAGTCGAAATGTTGACTAATTTTTAATAAAATAGAAAAGTGAAATATACAAACAAAAAAAATCTGAAACAATAAATTAACATGAAAGCTGAAAAAAATGAGGTTCATTTTCTTCACAGAAATAAACTATCCACTATATGAATAGATATGCTTAAGCGATTAAAATATTTTTCATTACCATTACTTTATAGGTCATGGTTACTTTATGAACAGATATACAAAACCAAACAATTACATGTCTAATTGACCTAAAATAAACTATGTTTGAACTCTGAAAAGAAGCTCTATCGTAAGTACTGACCATAATTTTGGATTAATAGTTATAGTATAGTGTGTCTACGCTATTCCATTGTCGGATGATCTTTAATGATAATCATGTATTATGGTTATAAAGTCAAACCAAGTGATTAAATTAAGTTTGTTCGACGGCTGAGGTTTGTACTATCCGTATAGTATTCACAGGTAAGCAATTTAATTACATATTTGCTGAATAATGATTTAATATTTATTTAATATTTATTTGTCAGACTATCCAGTATATATATATATATCACAACTTGTAATCAGACAATCGTTATTTGGTACTACAATTATGACATATTTATTAGTTTCAGCCTAAACAGACGTCAACATTTCATACAAGTTAATACTTCATTTCAAGTTCTGATTCATTCTGCTAATTGATTTGACTAATCCCACTGAGCAATTTATTCGATCAGTCAGCCATTCTTCAGTTTTGATTTGATGTGGGTTGGAAATGTATAGAAAGAGTTGTGTTTTCAACCAATAAATAGTCTTTTTAGTCACAGGACAGGTGTTGTTTTAGTGACATGACGTACTGAGTGGAAGCGGTCGTTATTCCTTGTGCACTATTCTTACTCTACTCAATACATACGATATAATTGAACCAATCAACCTGATAACAATAGGACCTTCAACGTAAACCGAAGATGAAATGAGAGGACAGTTATATTTTACTTTGTTGACAGAGTTTCTACAGAAACACATTACGTTGTTAAGGGCTTTTTGTAAGAGTTATAGGAAAAATCATCGCCTAACATGCGTCTGAAAAAGGTTATTTTGACTTTCATCTCGAAAACAAGAAGACAACTGTGTCCATATTTAACTTTTGAGAAATTGACATTTTCGAACACTGAATGATCATTAAAATATAAGCTACGTAGGCCTAATACTCAAACAAGGATAAAAAGATAGATACGAAATACAATATGATGCTAGATCACTGGTATTCATTAACTACTAGAATAATATATGAAATAACAGAATTACATCAGTCCTGGTAAATAGTGTGATGACAAACTCTCAGCAGGTATGTAAAATAATAATGATCTTTGTTACAAAACTGGAGGAAAATTTAAAGGTAAAGAATAATTTCAACCTCTATAGAAAGAGCTCAAGATTGATTTTTATGGATCTTACAAGAAGCTTTGCTATCTCTATCAAATTATACCGGGATGATCGATTATGTTATTTGATTCACCCAACCAAGAACAATTACACTATTTCAACTATCAGCCCTGAGGAAAATAAAAGTTACTTTGCATGTGAATGGGATTGGCCAGACCAGTGATAGGAGAAGCGTTATAGATAGAACCATAATTAAATGAATATTTTGTACGTCAATACTATACATGCAGTTGAATTTACGAACCACGTTTACATGAAACGTTGAACATAGACAATTATTAATAATACTGAATGCTACACCCACAAATATATCTATATGCGTGCACCAAAAATCAATTAACTGTCCCATTATTCCGATTTCAAACGGAGAATACAATTTATTAATTAAAGTTTATGTATGAACCTGTATTTGAGTACTGTTGTTTTCTAATTAATCGTAAGATTACTACATTGTTGCTGGTAATAATATAAGTATAAAAATAAACATAAACCTATACGATACTACTATTCAAGAGTCAATACATAGTTCAGAATATTAACATTTATACATCAATCAGTCTCACTAAATTAAACGTAGTTTGTTTATAGAAAAAATATCACTTTAATTTTATCATGACCATAAATGCCATATAGCAACAGTATAATAGACTACTCTGAGATGTTTGAATATAAATAATAATTGAGAGAATAGCTAACATTACCACAATAACAAAATGTTAACTGATAAACACATACAAAATAGATGGAATGTAGCTAGCAGCGGAGCCCAGGATGTGTGTTTCGCCCTATTTTGGACTCATCAGCCGGATGTATCAGGATTTTAGGGTTGGTGTTCACGCCCCAATTCGAACCCGGTACCTTTCGCTTCAAACACCCAAAGGTTCATATACCAACTGAAATTTATCGAAATTTAGTCAATTCATCAACGGTGAGATGATCTAGACTATAAGAAATTGAATCGACATACAGATAGTTTGTAAAGATAAACTGAGAACAGTAAAAAAACACTTACATTCAGCTAAGTCTGTAGTCATTGGGAAAATTTCTGTAGGTGAACGATATTTGTTTGACACATCTGAATTATATACACTGGATTCATGATTTAATTGTACATTATCTGATGATATCTTTGTGGTGGAAATTCGCTCTTCAGTTGATGCTTGTACTGAACTAAGTGGATTTAGCTTTAAAGATGCTCTAGTAAGCGCTCGTGTTTGGGGACGTGAATCTAAAACAGTACCACAAATTTCATTGGATGAAGTTATCGATGAATTTGTAGGATATATATCACTTGTAACAGGTGTCCCCGAGTCACCTGCATCAAGATTTTCTGAAGTAGTATCACACCATAATTTTGTTTCAACAGTTAAAGGTTTAGTAAGTTCTTTTAATGGAATGTTTTGTTCGCCCGATATTGTTGATCGACCACAGTATATAGGTCCACTAGCGTTACAAGAATTTAGTTCTGTACAACTTGTAGATGTGGATGTTACCTAAGAAATAGCGAGAAAATCTTCGATTACAGTAATTATTTACAGGTATTTTCAAGTTATTTTATATGATAGAATGTGACTAATTATGATGAAAACTCGTTGGTTAGATTTAAAGACATAAATAACGATAAAGTAAAAATGGTGATTCCAAATTAAGTCTACACTGGTAAAACTATAATTTGCGGACGAGCCAATCAAAACCAAGTAAGTGATTTCAATCTCACGGCTACTATTCTAGTATCCAGTGCACACGTACGATCGATTCAAAGTGGATTTCAAGGAGGCTGTTATAGTTGAGAGGTTACAATAGATGGGATTGCTGGGAATCTCCTTTATTTCTGAGTGCGGTGTTCAAATGATTGCTGGACGATGTAACATATGTTTGATGAAGTCTTCCAGAATGGGGACTTTTTACTCGATTCTGATTGACACTAAGACAGTTTATGCTGATTGTTGTAAACAGAATAATAAAAGCGCCATCAACACTAGCTGAAATCTTAGCAGATGTTTTCGAAGCTTCGGTATTCCATAGGTATGAGTACTGTAAAGATATATGTTCAATAAAAGAATCAGGAGAATCGCAGAAATAGATGAAACAACCATTAGGAAACCTAAATTCAAAAGAAGTGTGAGAGAAGGCTGGGTAAGTAGCAGTTCCTTAGGTATATTTAGCAAATTGTTGGTATATATGAAAGATCATTGCAAAAAGAACATTTCCAAAACCTCAGAAACTGACAGGCTACGACGCTGATATCAATTATAGAGGAGTAAGTGCAACCGCATACCACAATGGCATGAACGACTGGACGTAATATAAATGCCTATCTAAACTTTGTTACGTGCATTGTGTCGTCGTTCACATGAGACATTTTGCAGACCTCATCACAGGAGAGTAAACATCAATAATGTGAAAGCAATGTGATCGAGGCTAAAGGAATTTCTGCGAAGTTATTACAGCTCCAGGGGTCGACTGTTGTGAAGTTACATGGATGAGTTCCTGTACCATATGCATTACGATTTAATAACCGCAGAGCCTCTTTCTAACCCGAAAATTTTTTAAACTATGTTTAAAAAAAGTGCATCCACTCCAATTCTTAGGTTTTGTACCATAAATTCCTACTCTGTATCAACTGTTTTCTGAGTAGCTAAAATTTCGAAGGGTCATTTAAGATTCGTCGTCCATAAATTATAGTCTCGTCGTCTAATTTCAATACAAGCAGTAAGTAACAGGATAAATTAAAATACGAAATTACTACTTAAAAACTAAAAAGAAACAATATTGGAAACAAGCGATAGGACATTATCCTCATGTTAGTATACGTCAATAAATTGAGATATCTATCAAAAACCAGATAAAAAAACTATGTCGATGAAATGTGACTATCTACGTACTGTTAGCGTTAAGCATATTATCATTTGCTTGATCTCAAAGTGTTCGTCATGTTCCAGTTTATCGGAAAACATACACAGGAACACTATTGGGACAACCATAACGAAGTCTACTTGATCGAATTCGAATACTTAATCAATGGTTCTAACACAACAAACTGGGAAGGAAATGTTTCGGCTATAGTCAATAAAGAATCAATCAGATCATTGCTTTTCGTTGGAGCCCGATTTTCTATATCAATTAAATGATTGATCTATAAATTTATAATTTTTTTGCACAATTGTCATCGGTCTATCAACAGTGGTCATTCAGCGATATCAGCTTTCATTCTTATTCCTTCTTATTCTTGTTTATTGCCAGAAAAATAACTCAATCAAAATATCATAGTTGCACATTTTTTAATTCACCAAGATAATTCAGTCAATTCGTAAATATCTTTATATTTTTCTATCCATCAAGCCGGAATTTAAGGGACTCCTTTGTTTGTGTTGACCTAATTGATCCACACAGACTATTTTCTACAATATATTGAAAAGCAGTACATTTAATGTGTCATTAAATAATGACTTTTTAATAATCTCACACAAAAAAGAACATCACAAAGCACTTACTTTTGTTAGCTGATCTGAACTGTGATCAAGTGAATGTAAATTCTTCACATCATGAAAACAATTTTCTTGTAATTTAATGGAAATTCCGTTCGGTATACCATTCTCTAAATCTTGTATTTCTCGAAGATTCCCTTTTGATTCTTTACAATCGTCTCCTACTGAATGAGAAACTTTATTGATATTCGACTTACGAACTGTACTAGACATTGTTTCAGTAAGTACGGTAAGAGATAAAGGTGAATTATTTGAAATGAAAGAAGCGAAAATTCTATTTATTTTATTTGTATTCGGAGAATATTCTAATTGAGAATTACAATTATAACCATTTTCACAACTATTATTACTACTATTATTGATATCATTCTGTTGAGACATATGTAAATAAGGCTTTTTGTGCTGACATTCCCAACAGTCTGGATCATCATGTTCATTTGGTGATGAATAGGAAGAACGTTTACGAGATGAAAAACAAAATGTACTGTAATCATCATTGGTAGGAGAATGTATACTATCAGTTAAAATAGTATCAGATAGAGAATTATTATTATGCTTTTGTTGCATTGATTTACTTAATTCTGATTCAGGATAGTTGTGGTTCTCATAAATTGTTTGTTTGGCAGCACGTGTCGCTGAACGAGTTTTGATGGAACGTGAGTTCTCAAAGTCATCAGATGGTTCATGTCTAAAAAATAGAAAATTGTTTAAAATACTATTTTTAATGACATATTATCCAAGAATATTGAAATTCAACTAAGTAATAAGGTAAGGAATAACGCAAATAAGAAACAATAACTTATGACAAGCATTAGATACAAAAAATATGAATGATCTACAATTACAACATGTGATTATATCCACTTTTTCGAGATGATAGGTTTTCTTCATAATGATTTATGAAAACCTTATAAGTAAAACGAATTCCATATGTTGACTAAAATACACTATTTCTCCATAAATAACCTCAGCTTCATGAACCACATCTTACTACCAAATCTAATCCATATTTTAAATCAAATCAAACTTGAGAAAAAGAATAAATCTTCCTACTGGATAATTAGAAAGTTTATCCAGATTTGTAACAGCAATAAACCAAAGGTATGAGTAGTAAAGCATTTATTTTTCCCATTAAACGAAGTCAGTTGTTTCTATTAGGCACACATATGAGATACTTATAGACAATTTTAAAAATAAAAAAGGAGATACAATTTTTTTATCCTATAAATGGGTAAATTCACATTAGCTATTTGACAGAATCCAATTACCTCACTCCTCACTTCTAACTCGAATTATATTGCTAAAAACAACTTATTCATACATAATCATTCATGAAAATATATAGAATAGCATATTATTGTGGTAAACGTTTGACGAAAAGTTCAGTTTTAAGTATAATTTTGCATAACTACTTTAAACGATTAAGCTACCAACCATAGTAGTCAAGTAATACGTTGTATAGACTAACGGATTGAGCTCCTACTAGATTCACTTATTCACTTAGAATGTGTAGATGACATAGTTGGTTGATAAAGATGTTGACATAGTATTTTGATCGTCCTTTGCAACAATGCAAGCATGTTTGAAATGTGGTTCTCTCCCTCCAAATGGGAAATATTGCTTACGGTTTAGTCTGCATCAATGTATGTACTAATCACAGGAAGTAAAGTAGTTGAGTGTATCGACCACTTTATTTAACCCGGAAGTCTCATCAACACTGGTGGGCTGGTTGTCTGATGAAATTTCAACACGAATCGATGAAGCTTGATTGACCAATACCAACTTGCCGTAGGTGACATTTCCCTGTCAACTAAAGGCCGAGTAAACTGTACAGCACTGAGCTTCGTTCTACTTTATAGCTGGGAAAAAAGACCTTTAAAAACAGAGGATATTTGTTAATTGCTAGCACACAATCATAAATGTTGCAAAGTATTCCTCGTGTATTTTGAGACCAACAGGTTAACAACTCTGAGGTTAAACGCACAGTATTAAATAAAGATAGTAAATCGATACGCTAACCCATCCACCGACTACCTTAACGCACAGTGATGGTCAGTGCAAGAATACACAGCTAGGGGAGGTCAGTCCATGAAGACACTAACTGTTGGACAGGGCTATGTAGATAGGTCCAGACTAACTGATAAGGGTCAGTATGATTATCGTAAACAATCGTTAGAGACTTTGGGTGATACGGCCTAGATACACTTCCTTAGACCCTAAATTTCTAAAACCTCATAAGTTATTTCCTTACGAATTTATGTTTTCTTGAATTCTATTTTCTACCATCACTAATACTGCTACTACCTCGACTACTCTGGAATTCACCCTGACAATTTCACCTCGCTGTGCTAATGGGGAATGGTATCTTGGACTAATGAATATATATGTCAGGTTCTACGTTGCATCTGACTGACATAAGCATCACAATGAACCGACCAAAAATACTTCTTATATTGCCCGGAGTATGAATAATGATGTAAATGACCAAAAAACGATGGAAATGCTGTAGAAGGGTTGGTGCTATTGTAGTGACATATATAAGTACGCCTATGTGAATTTATACTTACTTTTGGACAGATAATAATTATTTAGACAGTATGTGACTAATAAATCATTGTTATTCTCGTAAAAATTCTGTACTTCACATAATTGAGATCTATAGATGTACGTCTTTATGCGTGTTTTATCTGTGCATATGTCTGTTTATTGATTACCTTATTCACTGTATATTTGAACTACATATAAGCTCATTTAAAGAGTATTCGGAGTTGAAGTATAGCCAGCGCTAACGCTTCACTTACTCATCTTACACTCATAATTTGTCAGTGTATTCGAATGTATGGAATACATATCCTATTGAGGTGATCCAGCGAATTTCTCGCAATAGACAAGAAAGGCTCTGGAAACACTAAAATGCATTTTATCCAATCAGTGTTTGACTAGAAGTTATGCCAGAAACAACATGAAAGTGAAAAGTCACATGAAGAGCTTCTGATTGGCTGATTACTACACTACTACTATGTTTAGTAGCATTCCAGAATTTTTAGGGAAACCTATGGACTTCTAAAATAAAAACCCTATATTTTCTGTACATAAATGAACCTTTGGAGCGAAGTGCTTATCGCATATTTTGCGCCTTTTCTCTCATTTTCATGTCGCTGTGTAAATTTAGCTTGGGGGCTACGAGACTAGCTTAGGATCCGAGTACAGCGTTCAATTAGCAAGACTTATCCAAATAGATTTCGAATTTTCTTTTTTAATACCATTGTTGTACAAATAAACTCAGGAGAAGTAAAATCTATGAAAATAAATTCTGGACATATATATTTATTGGGGAATACTAAATTACGGATTCAGATGTTCAAAAGAAGTACTGAGTCCGATGTAATTCGAATACACACATCCGCAGTCTTGATTCAAACAAGCCACAGAAGCACCACTCTGAGAAATTATATCCTACCTGAATCAGAGGAGAGAAAAAGTCAAGAAGTAACGAGGAAGTTTGTTGTTGAGATGGAGGAAGAAGATGAGAATAGTTCTATTTCTAATGAAGATTTATGACTTCCATAAGGTGACAGATTAGTTCTGTTGATCTGCCCAACCCAGATATCTGTCCATAGGATACTAACTTCAGGCCGGTCTAACATGGTTCTCTAGAAATATTTGATTTTGTAGGTTTGAGTTCATAACTCAGAATTTATGGGATGAACACTTGGATTTCGTAAGATAGGATAATTAACCTTTGAGGAAATGTTATTTCATAGGATAAATAATGGATGTTTTTGTGTTTTACTTTTAGTCTGTTTATGTGAAGCTAATAACATACTACGAGGCTGACCAAACCAAAGTACGTGCAGCAAATTTTTAATCTAGTGCCTTTTAATCAGTTTATCAGGATAGCAGGACACGCATAACAAATGATAGTTACTAAAAAACCAAGAGATTTTCGGTTACTATAAGATTTTTTTCAAAATACTTGTTCGTTCTGTTGACAAACGAAATAGTGTATAGTCTCGAAAAAAATATATATACATCATAAACTTTTACTACTGTAAGTTATGTAGCAAGCGTCAGTTCACAATAATCAACTCAATTTCACAACCAAAACAACTAACACTGATCGACCTATACTTAAATAGGGTTGAACAGATATGTTATGTGGTGGACATCGTTTGGCATGTAACAGTTGACAGTGAATGTTTATGCACATAATTTTCCTATATTCAGCAAAAACAGTGCAAATAAAATACACTGAACAAGTTCAATAGAAAAGGCGTATAGTACAAATACAAAAAAAAAAATTTCTGTAAAAACAAACTTAAGAATAACTAGAAAACTCACTAGGCAATTATTGTAAATAGTAAAGAAGTAAAAACCTACTTGTTTTTATCAAGATTGTTACTGTTGGTATTAGTACTGTTAGTACAATTAGGCATATTTGTGCTTGTAGGTGAACATTTCTCTATGCATGGAGGGTTATATTGTTTCCCCACAGATAAAGATGAGTTTGGCAGATGTACACAGTTGTCATCATTGATAAAATGTTCAGATGGACTTGATTTATATTCCTCTTGAATAAGGTGACGATGACAATTAGATTGATTACGTGGATGTTCATGATTGATAGAAACAGTTGTAGTAGTAATAGTAGTAGTAGCAGTGGTAACAGTAATATTATTACTATTAGAACAATGTAGCGATTTGGACGTATGATCAAACTGACACATACGCAACAGAATATCTTGAATAAGTTGACGATTACGTTTCAACATTTGCATGCGTTTTGTAAGCGCTACACGACGATCTGGTACAACAGCTAATAAATTATACCGAACATCTTGCTATGATCACGAAGGTAGTGTTTGAAAACAAAGAATTGAATAAAAAGTGATCAAATCTATGGAAATACAATTATATTTTAAATAAAAAAAAGTTATGGGTTTTTTAGGCGAAGTATACGATTTCTATGGGCGTTAAACACCATACATGAATGATTAAATAGATTGAAAACAAATAGTCTTTTATCATAAAAACACTAAGAATATGAATGTACTCTACATAATATTATCTGGGAAATCCAAGTGCATTGTTTATTGAAAACAAAAGTGTGTTCATGATACCAGTTGTATAGTCATTATTGGTCTTAAGATTAAACAATATGTACATAAATGAAATGAAAACCTAATCTTTAAATTTTAAACTATTCCAAAAACGGTGACTCCTGATATAAAATTTCCTAGTTTCGTTTAATATATTGACTATAATTTTCGATAGTTTAACTACAGACTCCTTTATTTCTTTCGTTGCAAGTGGAACAGTTAATTAAGTTCTTGTAGATGTGTCTGATTTCACAAAGAGCAGCAAGTAAACATAATTAGTTTCTAAAATCTCTCTACTTGAATCTAAACAAACGTATTAAGGGTAGTGAAGAATTAGCATCTGATTTGAGTGTTTCAAGAATTACGTTACGTAACTACTCGATGGGTATTATTCCATTGTAGTTGTAGAACAATGAAGAAAAACTAACTGAAAACAATTTTTTCACTCGATTCGTTATTTTTACTAAATTTCAAAATGGGAGTTTGCACTATTGACAGTATTTCACTGGTAATGAAATATTACGTCCAATTTACACACAAGGATATTTTAAGTATTGTAACAATATGAGTTAATGGCGATGATGAAACGCTGTATGATAGAACATCATCAGCATGATTGATATCAATGACTTCTTAGTACATAACAATCTTCAAAAAATAAATTGCATGACAAAATATCTGTTTGTAATCTCACAATATTTTAGTAAATATACATAGAAAATCCATACACAGAATTCACATATAAGCACAGTTTAAATATAATAGAGAGGATGCAATCAAAATAAATTGATTAAAAATAACATGTAAACGAGAGTACCTTACAATAAGACAGTGACGATCAAAAATATGACCAGGAAGAATTCTTTCGGTTAACAAAATCGCTTTCACTTTCATGAAGAACATAAAATAAATCTACAGTAGGAACAGCATCAGCTACTTTTCTGACCCAAGTCTGATAATGTCTCAGGTAAACATGTTGCACTATTTCTAGAATCCTATCCAGGGAGTTGTGATGAACCGATAAACGCTATTCCTATACAGCTTTCCTCCATACCATGACATCATATCATAGACTGACCACCTCTCCCCTTCTTCCAACCAGTCCTAGCATCGGTACATAATGCACAACGTAGAATTTGCTGGAGCAACATTCGTAGTACATGTCCAAGTCACCCAAGTTCGTGTTTCAAGGTAGTGTGACACAAGTTGAACTATCGTCACTGTCCATCAACACACGTTCAGAACCTATACACCACTAAGATAGCGTTGCCATTGAATGTCGACAATCCTTAGTAGATAGTGACGATAAAAGACAGAGAGTCACTTAACGTCATCAACTCGAAGAGGCCAGGTTTCCAAACTGCTCTCACGAGCACATTGTACACCCGACCTTTTACACCCAGAATAACATCACGACGGAACCAAAGATCGCCCGAATTCACATAAGCCATTCAGGATTTGACCATACATGAATTGATTTCATCATTCAGGCCACCACAAACACTCACACAGCTAGCCAGATGCATGAAATCCTAGACTGCTTCTAACTGTTCAATACCAAGAGTGAACGCAGGTACAGGCTCCTGACAGTCTTGTCAAAATACTCTACACTTAGAAGGTGCTAAGTACATGCCATACCAACTGACACTGATTGACGACTGATTAAGTGCGATCTGCATACCTTGATTATTATCGTACAGTAAGGTAATATCATCCACATACGCAAGGTCGAAGTCTTTCTCTCGGTAACAGATCCATATCACCAATACCCACTTCCGCCAAAGCTGTTTCCAGAACGTCATCGATGGTAAGGTTGAAGAGAAATTTTGGAATTAGGCAACTCCGTCTAACTCGATTGCCTGAATGGAAAAATGGAAAGAAGTGGTTGTATGCCTTCACTTTCCCTAAGGTATCTGCACTCAGAGCCTTCAAAATGTTAATAAACTTCTCAGGCACACCCTTCTTCAACAGACAACCCAATATCACAGTCCTATCTAACGATTTGAAGGTGATAGATATTAGCAAACTGTGATGTTTATATGAACCAATGATTCCTTTGTACTTGATGACTGTTTGAATTCGAATTCCAAATACAATACATTTGTTCGTGTTCATCTAGTACTTCTGATTAAATTGCGTTATTTCTGAGATTCCTAGTTTATACTATAATTCAAATACTCATAATTATCACACAAACACAACAATCGTTTGATTGTAATGAGTAGGGTATTGTTCTACATCGGGAGGGGGATGAAGACACGATCAACACATTTACGACCAAAACGATGTTCCTGGAACAAAAGATAAACTGAACCGTGCCCCGGAGAACTTCCCCCATCGTCCAACGCATCGTTGGATGTAATTGAATGGCATCCCGTCAGACTTGTAAATTGTTTCACTTACACCAGATTTCCTTCTCCCACTGGATATGATGAGTTGAGACAGTTTTCAGCAGTTACCAAACGCAGTTGCTGAATCCAACTCGTTAACATGCCTCGACCACCAGACTTTTCGGTTCGTACGTAGACTTTGCACAGTTTCCTTACGTAAGAATATATGTTTATTATTAAACATGAGATTAACTGAGGTAGACTGACATGCCTTGAGGAGTGGTAAGGAGACTGTAAAAAACTAATCCTTATAAGCGGAACGTTTCGCGAAGCTGCAAATCACTTTACTCACCATCTTCATAGGGTCATGAAAATGCAGTCAGTACTCATCTATACTTTTCGGTGGGTTTGTAGTGGTCGGTATTCGATATAATCCTTAAACGTCGTATATTGTTCGTCCTGATAACCGTCGCTAAATAACCCTCCCCACGGTGTACAAAACAGAAAATGAATATGAAGTGTTGATCACGCTTATTATTGCACCACGCACAAATCACCAAAACCACAGGCACGTGACGCAAGAATGAAAGGCTTGTGCCAAAAAGCAAGCGAGTGAGTCGAATAAGTGTGCGAGTGTATAAACAGGATTAAAATGTACATATATACACATAGGGAAATGAATGAACTGTCGAATCAATTAAGTGACTAACACTAAAGGTAGCAGAATGAATATGTGTGTAGACATTAAGCAATGCTCAAGTATACATGTTCACACAAGTGCAACAATAATAAAGGCACAATGGTATAGATAAGTTGTTATTGTACGAATGACTCTGTACGTTAAATGAGTTAACAAAGGGGCTTAACCAAATTAAATGTGAATAAAATCAAATGCACGTGAGCTGCTATAGGTTAATATCTAGCTTTGAACTTAGTTCGGTTTGATATTTAGTGGCAATAGAAACTTCATCCAATTTGCTTACATAGGTCCGTTCAGAACGACGGATTTGTTGGCCACTGAAGGGTAAGACAAGATCAGCGCAAATGATGCCATGATCAGAGTCCAAATAAGCACTCCGAAAGGAGCAACTGTTTTATACACGATCACATCAGCGGTAACTGATCACGATGTGATCAATCCGAGTCCAGGTTTGAGTTGCAGAGGGAGAATGCCAGGTAGTACTGTTATAACTTGTGGCCTTGTGCCCTATTAATATATAACGTGATGATACCGCCAATCAGAGAACAGTGACTTATCGACCGGACCAATGACGCACAAACGCGAACGAGCAGTCTAGAGTCTTCATCGATCCTTCTTCCTGCCTGTTGAGTCCAGAACACTAATCTCAGCCTCCACAATATGAATCATGTACTTCAAACATACTAGGTTTATATACAAACCAAACTGATCACATCGTACCATAAAATAGAAAACAGAATTTGCACGAGATCTAGTCCAAAGTGGCTGTGAATGTGGAAGACTGTAATTAATAGACTGGGCATAACTCAAGAACGGTAAATCGTATAATAGTCAATGGGTCAAAATAAAGCTTATAATAAAAGGAACATGAATATGCATAGTTTAGTTAATTAATTATACAACAAAAATATATGTACAGTGTTAGTCCATAAGTGGATCCCAACAGTTAATATTCATTATTCTCGTCAGAATATATCAAGTATATATCTGTCTGTGCCGATGGTTAGTGTTGGCCAGAAACAAGTAGTAATTTGCGCACAGTTGCAGGAGATGGTCATTGTTATCTGACTTGAGACCGACAAGTCCTCATTGTCCACCCAAGAGACTCTCCTCTGCGTCTAGATGCCCGATCTGCAAACCCAAATATCCGACCAGTACTAAAATATCTGTCGAACACACTTTCTGAAAAGTTACTTAACTGGTGGTAGAACTCATTCTTGACTACAGTCGTGCTGCAATCTCTCACGGTTTAGAGAAAGATAACGGAAATATAACGTTTCTCACAGCGATTTCTTGTGAATTTGATAGAGCTTTCTAATCTGACAGCATATAATCGACTGCTAATGGGGATCCAGTTGATTAGTGTTGCCTCTGCTCTAGGGCTTAGTGCGACACCAACACTAGTTAAACCAGACGAAGATGCCACAGGGCCCCTCAAATAAACGCATATATAACAAGCTCTTTTAATTGACAGATGGAGAGTGAATGTGTAGTACTTCACTAATCTTCAATCTGAGTCTCAAACAACAGACTTCGATGTTGAGACTTTCTAAGGACGTAGTCAACACTACCTATCGTCCGATCTATATTAGTGTATGAACGTTGAAGGAGGTCAGTTTGAACAGGAGTCGTGGTTTCCGAAATCCTGGTTTAGAAATCATATTCAGTAGTAGAAATCAACATTCGACCAGTCAGTCAGTGAATTCAGCTAGTTTACATAAAATAGGATTTCTACCATAGGTGATCTGCGGTACTAGTTAGCAAATAAAAGAAGCACGAAACGGGAATAAAAGAGAATAGGCAAGTGAGACAATGTCAAATAGAAGAGAATGTTAATCCACCCTTGGTTGTACCAAGGGTATTACCGAAAAAATCAAACATGTTGTATATGGTTCACAATATAACGCAGCAGGACTGATAAGTTGCATTTCTCCTTTTTCATTATACTATTGTGTTTTGAAAAGGATAAATAAAATGTTAAGATTATTGTAAAGATAATGTGAAATGAAACAGCTAAGAAATTATATCTCGATATATTAGAATTCATTGCACTTCGACTTACTTCTTGCATACGTTCCTTCAAAACGTCAGCACACTGTTCAGTCCAAGCAAATTGATCGTTTGGGTTCTTTAACGGACCATGATTTATTGGTTCAGATGTAAGACCATCTAGTTCATATAAAAACCCACCAATAGGAACATAACAAACAAAATGAAATGTATCTGGAATTGTTACGTTAGATCCTGTTGTAGTAGCAAGACTAGGGCTTGAATCGGATGAATTCACACAATTCACCGTTCCTATACTAGCCTTAGCGATTGCTGCTGCGGTTGCTGCAGCTTGACTTGGTTCAGGTAATTCCAAATTAGATATTGTTTCGTCCTTGCAAACTGTTAGCGGTTTTGCAGCATGTCGATTATGTGCCTGAGCAAGTTGTGGCATACTTCCGATGGCAAGGCCCTTAGCTTCTGGTGATAAATAACGAGTAGCTTTTTGAAATTCAGCTAACATATGTCCTATATTTATTTCAGGTCTATTTAACAAAATACTCAGTAAAGCGTGAGTAGCGCAAGAATTTTGCACAACTTGGTGAGCAAAGAAAATCTCTGTTTTGTCCGGAATAGGAATTATCGACTTGCATTCTGAGATTTCACCAACAGACTTGGACTCTGGAGTAGTAATAATATCCTGGCATGATCCAGATGCTGAACGGTGACGAGAACCATTATTTCCCGTCTTCGGTGTAACTGAATTTGATCGCACATCACAAGTGGAAACAGGTGTGTAAGAACTCGGAGAAATTGTATTGCTTACCGAACCGGTTGAACCCCTTCCAGTACGGCGACATGGCTTAGAATTATTCAAAACAGATAGAAAAATGTAGTCTGATGTGAATTTTACAATAACTCAAAATAAAAATCATACTAAATATCAAACATGGTACACTACGATAAAGATTGGTAAATCTGAGATTTCAACCATAAAGTTTAGATGGTGTTTAGTTATCTTTTCGTCTTATTTTGTTTCTTCTTTTCTCCATGCAAGTGATCATTTCTCTACATGGATAAGTCTCTATTTTTTAGTCAATTATCTCTAGGATTCATCAACACTTAAGCGGATTCATTCAGCAATTCAGCTTCTCAAATGATAATCATTCATATACGTCAGTATACGATATTACCGATAACTTCAATATATGTATAAAGGTAGGTAGAACCTAGCATAAATATGCTTCAAATCAAATTGTAATACCACTTTACCACGGTGAGTCGAAATAAGCAAGAAGAATTGTAAAGAAGTTAAAATAATGTTAGAATGAATGATAGCGAGACAGATTAAACAATGGAGAATCAGTTGGTAGGTCAGTCAGTCACAAAGTAGAACCTGGTACGAATGCGCATCGGTTCAACTTGGTATACTCCATTAGCAAAGAAAGAGACAAAAGTGTCGGGCCAAATCTCAGAATAGTAGAGGTATTGACAGCATCGGTGGTAACGGTAAAGATTACTCATTGAAAATACAATTCAAGAAAATGCAAATTAGTGAAATAAAAACAAATAAGAGGAACTTAGAATCTCAGAATTAGGGATAAGACAAAGAACAGATTCACTCGCGCCATCAAAAACAATTTTGAGCCATGTTATTCAGTCTCTAATTATCGATTACAATAATCATTCGGACCCCAGTAAGGTGGTCTACACCTATTATCATGACTTAGTCCAATTCTCAATGTCTTCATGGACTGGTGCCATGGTTTGGTTATGGTGCCTCTAGCTTTATTCTACCCTACTCCTACACCATACAACATTGTCCGTCGAGGTAGGTGGTGGTTAGGTATACACAACACATATCCCAACCACCACAGTTGATGAAAATTTACTATTTCATCAATCGATTTCCCATCTTTACCTAGCACCTCATTCCTAACTCAGTCATTGCTTACTTCGTAGTCCCAAAATGCACAAGTAATACTTCGAAGACACCTATGATCGAATACTGATAACCTATGAGTATCTCCTGTTCTTAATGGCCACGTTTCACATCCGTGAAGTAGAATGGAGCAAACTGTTGCTCAGTGAAAGTATTCTTTGGTTGGTAGACGGATGTCTTAAGCCAAAAGTGACGCCAGTTGACAAAAGACAATCGAGCCTTCTGAACCTGTGCTGAAATTTTGTCAGATATCAGATTGTTAGTAATGATGAGAATTCCAAGATAAATGAAACGGTCTATGTGTTCAACTACTCCACTCCCTATCATTAATTCAGGAGATGACTTACACCTGTTACCCCTCGTCGAGGAGCACAGGCCGCCAACCACCATTCTCCACCAAACCCTGTTCTGGGCAATCCTATCCAGTTCTTTCCAGTTAACACTCATCCTATTCATATGTTTCTATTTCCCGTGGTAATGTGTTCCTAAGTCTTCCTCTTTTCCATCTCCCTTCAAGATTTCAAGCTAGGACTTGCCTCGTGATGCAGTTTGATGATTTCCACTATGTATGTCCCATCCACTCCCAATGTCTTTTCCTAATTTCCTCTTCATCTGGAAGTTGGTTTGATCTCTGTCAGAATAGGTTGTTGCTGATAGTATCCAGTTAACGGACATTGAATATCTTGTGTAGATAATTGTTTGTAAAAACTTCTACAGTTTTGATGATGGTTGTAGTAGTTCTCCAAGTTTCAGCTCCATACAGTAGAAGTGTCTTGACGTTCGTATTGAAGATTGTGACTTTGATGTTAGCTTGCAGACAATTGTTTTGAGTTCCATATGTTCTTCAGTTGTAGAAATGGTGTCCATGCTTTGCTAGTCCTTGACATTATATATGTACGTCAGGTCCATCTGGTTCATCAATGATGCTTCCCAGGTACGTGAATGTTCCCACATCTTCCATAGTTTTGTCATCAAATGCAATTGGCTTGGCGTTCTCCGTGTTTTATTTGAGAATTTTGCTTTTTCCTTTGTGTACGTTGAGGCTTACTGATGCAGAGGGTGCCGCTAAATTAGTTGTCTTCGTCTGTATTTGTTCGCGTGTTTGGGATAGGAAGGCTAGGTCATCTGCGAAGTCCAAATCGTCTAATTGATTCCGAGATGTCACTAGTATTCCGTGCTTCTCCTCAGATGTCGAGGTTTTCATAATCCAGTCAATCACCAGAAGAAACAGGAAGGGCGAAAGTAGACACCTTGTCTGACTCCGGTCCCCACTGGAAATGCATCTGTCAGCTGTCCTCCATGCACGACTTTGCAGTGTAGTCCATCGTATGAGTTCTGGAAAATGTTGGCAACCTTTTCAGTAACTCCATAGTGTCGAAGAAGTTTCCATAATGTTCTCCTGTCCATACTGTCGAACGCCTTATCATAGTCAATGAAGTTAATGTATACAGACGAATTCCACTCAACTGATCGTTTGACGATGATTCGTAACGTCGCAATTCGGTCTGTGCACGACCGATCCTTACAGAATCCAGCCTGTTGATCTTGAAGTTGAGCGTCTACTGAGTTTTTCATCCGGTTCAGTAAAACTCTGTTGAAAACATTATTTGAAGCTATATCAGTTCCTCTCCTTGTTCCCACGTCTTCCATTGACCTTCTGAATATTTTATTGATGCAGGTATGATCCATCTGGTTCTCCGTGGTGTGATGTGATGAGATGCATGTTGCTTTGTGTATGTGTTTTTGTGGAAATATTGTGCTGCCTATAATCAATTTGTTGAATGCACATAGATTTGCGAATCTCACTGGATTAGCGTTCGTTTCTCCCAGTCAGTGCATGTCATCTTATGATATCTTTATAACCGTTGTTGTCCATTCCGACTTTGGAGTTCAGGTCTTCCATCAGGATGGTCAGGTCGTTTCCTGGGCACTTAGCTATGAATGATTGCAGCCTCTCATGGAACTGATGTTTAATGTCGCCGTTGCTGTCATTGGTAGGTGCATAACATTAGATGATACTTATTATGATTGCCTCCTTCTTTGTTTTGAATGATGTTTTAATTATCCTGGATCCATGAGATTTCCATCCTAAAAGCGCATTTCGTGCTTCTCTGGACAACATTAGAGCAACTCCCTGAGTGTGTGGAGCATTTTCCTCTTCGTGACCGGATCACAGAAGCATCTCTCCCGTATCTAGTCTTTGCTGTCCAGCTTGGGTCCAATGGGTTTCGCTGATTCCAAGTACTGCCAATTTGCATTACCTCATTTCCGTTGCTATTTGACTGGTTTTCCCGGTCTCCCACATGGTCCAATTGTTCCATTTACCTATATAATTTTTTGCTCCGGTCGTTAGAAGGGGCATCGACCTCGTGACTCCCAAAGGATCTTGGCTTTCATCATGAGGCGTCATAATTTTCCCTTCAACTCCCAGGATAGAGTTTAAATAGTTTGAATTCTTTTTCCGGGTTAGCGTTTTTTAGCGAGTTAGTTTTCTACGGAATGAGGTTGCTGACCCCATGCCCAACCCTCCTCCTTTACCCGGGCTTGAGACTGCCAGTAACTCTAGAAGAGCTACAGGCGGAGTTTCAGGCGATAACGCAGGCCATAACTAAGGTAGCATTTTATATTTGAAAGAAAACAAGCTCATCTCAAACATGCCTAAATTTTCAGCGTATTCGCCAAACGGAACTATGTCATGTGCATATCCTAAGTCAACAAGTGAATCTCCTTGGTAGATCAACCCCTGGAAAGCCAGACGATGAAAGTGTTACCTCCGAAAGCATCTCTATAGAAATGTTAAGTAAAACTGGGGAAAGGAGACAATCTTGACGAACACTAATTGAAGTAACCGATTCCGGTCAAAGTTAGCCATAGGCTCTGACTCTAGAAGAGCTACAGGCGGAGTTTCAGGCGATAACGCAGGCCATAACTAAGGTAGCATTTTATATTTGAAAGAAAACAAGCTCATCTCAAACATGCCTAAATTTTCAGCGTATTCGCCAAACGGAACTATGTCATGTGCATATCCTAAGTCAACAAGTGAATCTCCTTGGTAGATCAACCCCTGGAAAGCCAGACGATGAAAGTGTTACCTCCGAAAGCATCTCTATAGAAATGTTAAGTAAAACTGGGGAAAGGAGACAATCTTGACGAACACTAATTGAAGTAACCGATTCCGGTCAAAGTTAGCCATAGGCTCTGACTCGACCATTAGTGTTTAAGTAGAGTCTGTACAATCTCAATGTACATCTATAGTCGTACGTCGAAAAGAATGTCCATATTTCATAACCCTCCGAAGAGTGTATATACGGTCTATAGACCCACCCCCAGTTCAGAAACCAGTTTGCTTTTCTCTAGTTCGCTCTTCACCAGCTCTAGACGAAGTATTTTTGAGGCTAATATTTTAGACACTATAATAGCTAAAATGACTCCTCTGCGATTATCATAAGAGGATTTTCGTCCTTTTCTTATAAACTGGGACGATAAGAGATCGAGATCAGTCAGGTAGGACTACGTCTAGTCCCCAGATTTTAGCTAAGATCTCAGTTAATCTAACGGCTAAAACTGGACCATCATTCCTAAAGATCTCAGTGTTTAGTCCATCAAACCCTGCTGCCTTCCTATGCTTTAAATTGTTTATAGTCTTTTCAACCTCACTAAGAGTTGGAGGACTTACATTAATTTGTCACTCGAGTTGCTTGTAGATAGTGGGCAACCGAAGTGTGGCTTAAGTCCAGTTGAACTGTTCCCTAAAGTGTTCTGCCTATCAGTCCAATCTCCTGGATTGAGTGAATGATCTTCCCGTCTTTTTTCGAGATAGTTCCACCAACAGTCGTATTTTTAATGCACGTTTCCCTGATAAGTATGAACAGTTGTCTGCTGTTACCTCTTTCCTTTCCCCTTTCTACCTCTCGCTTTCGCTACCTACCACTGCTTATGACAATTGTGTAGCTTTTTTATTAACCTATATTCAACCTTTCGCCGCTCCTCATCGTGTTGGGCCAAACAGGATGAGTTTCCTATCACCTACCAGTTATGTGGACACCACTAAAATCCACTGATTTTTCCTAACTTTGTTATTTAAGTTTCAAGTAGATATCAGTGCTGTTTTCACAGCCTTTTGAATATCATACCAAGCTACTTAGAGATGGATATCACTCTTATAGTTGATTAACTCCTTCTCTAGTTGTTCCTGAAATATATTCTTAACTTTTTCATCACTACGTTGAATACAAAGGGGTTTCCTTGATATGATTTTTTCATGTCGAGTAAGATGCAGACAAATAGGTGCTCAAAATAGAGCATGGTCCGAGTCTAAAAATGTGCTCCAGAATGGGAGGCAGTCTTCTATCGAAACCTTCCAACGATGGATAGTGGCAATATGATCTATTTGAGTCCATCGATGAGTCAATTGTGGAGGTTGCCACGCCAGACAATGCTTCTCCTAAGTTTAAACTTGGTGTTTATCAGAAATAGACGATTACCTGAGCATAGTTACAACAAACGGTCGCCATTATGTTCCCTGAGCCGCAACACCGTAAGATCCACCTACGTGCCTTTCGGATTGGTTTAGTTTACCTAAATCTGAGCGTTTAGCTTATAAAGGTTGTATAGCTTCCTACAAATTTCATCTTTAACTTCATCTGAGCTGTGATCAGTGGGAGCGTAGACAAAGACAACGAAAAGACAACGGTGTGTTTTACTATCTTTTTGAGTTCTTACTGTCTCGTTTGATCAAACGGTGAGCGTTTCGGAAACGCAGCATACATCGATGGCACAGGGTTCTAAAGTCCCGGCTAAGGAAGCCTGTCGCTCAATCTAACACAAGGTTTGAACATCAAGAGCTCCAACATTTACTTTAGAGCGTTGTTTCAGGAGACCAGGAATAACATTTCATGAACTCAAATCATTGATGGTGCGTAGTGATAAAGATATACAAGAAGGGTTAGTCGTGGGGATGGGAGGATTATTAAGAGGTGAGGGAGGAATATGGTCGCGAACAAGATGATCTCGGGTGCTGATGGAGGTATGAGGGCGGTTGTCGCTTCCAGGTTGCCTACAACGTGAAAAGATATTTCTTCTTGAGAGGATGATAAAACTGAACTTAGTGGTGGTCTTAGTGACCTGAGGACGTTACTGTAGAGCCCAAAGGACAACTGTTTAAGGTAGGTAGCTCATGGCCTTTTCATGAGATGTTTTTGTCGAGCAAGCTCCTCACTTGATAAAACCTCACCGCCGGAGATGAGAATCCGTGGGGTAAGGTAAGGTGTAGCATTTTTAGGGTCGATCTTTCTAGCCCCTTCTTTCCTTTATGAGAAGGTAGAATCGCTGATGCTCATTGTTCAAGGGAAAAAACACTGCTATTACATCCCCCTGCAGACAACAGTATGACTTCGCCCTCTGACCTTAAGTTGTTGCTTTTAGTCTCAGCGTTCTTTAACCGATCCACCTGGCATGGTAGGACCTAAAAGAACGTATGTTCCAGCTAATATAGCTCGATAGAGTCATTATGATAAGCAAGCCCGACTACTATGTCAAGGTAGCATCTACGGTCAGGATTGGAGAATATAATTCCAGAAAGAAAGAAAACGAGATATGTATGAAAAAATATGGAAAACTCAAGATCTAAAGAAAATAAAAATTGAATCCATCTGTGCCACTTAAATATCACCTAAAGTCTCCAATCAGTGATCAGAGTTACAATGCAGACCGCAATCAGGTTGTTGGGATTTACCTACGCAGTTCAGGTCAAAATTTCAACGCTGCTGAGATAAAAACTGAATTTTACAGCTTCTTTTTCTTCAAGCCTCTTAAGTAAAAGTTATTTTGCGAAAAGATGTACTGATTTTTGACCTAGTCAATCTTAAGTCTCATTTCAATAAGGTTTTTTCTGGAAATTATCCAGCCATCACAGCCTATGTTTACAGCTTGTACACGGACAAATTTTCTTCAATACGATGAACAAGGATATCCTGATCACAAAAACCCAATTTTAAACTATATTAATTTGTCTTCAAGGCGAGTGAACTAACTTTACTATCCTTGGTTACCGAAAGACTGTTACGTTAACCCGTGTCAAATTACTTGTAACTCAGATCATGATGATGTTAGCTTGTTGCAATATTCTCACTGTTGTAATCAACCTTAACTATCAAACTATTAACCTTCAAACATTGAGATCTAATAACTAAATGACGAGTGTGCTTGTAGTCAAAAGTTAGTTTCTGACGACTAGTTATTACTCAGATATTTTCATCGAGGGATTGAAAATAATATTCAAAGCAACTATAAAATGTAATGGGAGGATAATCAGAAGATGAAACTTGTGTCAAGGATATAAAAAGTACTGCCATGTAGCACAAATAACGATCGGTTAAAAACTTATCTGTTTATATATATATATATATATATATATATATATATATATATATATATATATATATATATATATGTATAAATAATTATCAGTGTTTCACCTGAACAAGAAAAATTAGGTTGCTTATTAATACATACGGTACATCATAGTTTAATGAACTTAAACCAGTTGCATTAATCACAGTTCGTAATGTAGATTGATTTAGGTTATGAATATAAGGTAAAGAGCGAGGCAGTGACTTTCAACCACTAGATGGTTGAGAGTTCGACTCTGGTTCCACTTCGGTTTGGGCAGCCAGATAGTATAAATAGCCCAAACACAAAGTGTGGACATGTTGGTAGGTGTAGACTACCTGGTTGGGATCCACGAGATGATGGTAACCGATGGTTGGAGACCTTGAATGACATGGCTCAAAATCATTTGCAATGGTACAGGTGCATCCACTCTTTGTGTTCTACCAAATTCTGATCTTGTGAATCTCATGTCCCTTTCTTTTCTCTCTCTCCAAATTTGCTTCACTGGATTATACTGCCTGAATAACATCTTCAAACCCTAATCTTTCACATAATGTTTATACTCTTACTATTTCTACCACTATGGGATTTGAATCAACAACTGCATCGCTGTGCTAATGTGGTATGGCAACTCGAACTGATGTACGTACGTACGAAGTTCTACGCTGTGACTGACTGTGGCCATCACTCTGCTTCAATGACAAAAAACCCATGGGAATCAAAGTAAAAGAAAACTAATTATCAATTAAAAACAGTAATCTATTAATGACTACATAAAATCCAGGCGTATATAGAGTTATTCCTTTTAATAAACAATAAAAGTGTAAAAACTGCTTATAATTCTAAAACGATTGTATTCGAAACAATGGCAACTATTATCAAATTAACGGGTAAGTACTTATTCAGGTAATAGATACAATAATAGTAGGCTGACTAAAACCTATAGAAAGGTTTAGTATAAAGGATTTCGTACAAATTGTAGAACTCCAATGGTTTAAATAAGGAGCTGGTGTTGGCTGAATCCTACACTAATATGAAACACATGTCTAGTGGTTCATAGTTTCCACTGGTGATCTAGCTAAGATCAATCAGTGATTTAAACTAAGAAAGACCTAATGTTTGTTATTTGTTGCAAGGGTGGTTAGTAAATAATATTAGATAAAACTTGATTTACAAGTTGGCACACCTAACGAGTAATTCCTTGGACTTCCGTTAAAGATGTTGTTGTATAGTTTGCAATAGGTTTGAACAAGCGACTACTGTAATCCACCAATTCTACATATTTCATCCCTTTTCTTTCGTTCTTTACTACTGCTTAAGACAATAGCGTAGACTTTTGCTAGTCGAGATTTTAGCTCCCTTCCCTACGGAGCCAGTTGGGGAACGTTTCCAAGTATTCATTGATGCAGAGAACGTCGAGGTGTATTAGTGTTCTCTAGCTTTCTGATAAAGCCTGTCAACAGTCCTTACCACTGTTTGGCAGGGTGGAGGTAAACCAGACTTTATGTAGATGAGGCCGCTACACCGTCCCAACTGTATGCCAAAGAGTTATGGCACAATGGACTTTCTCGTCCACTGTTGCTTTGATGCCGATAATAATTAATAGACTAGACAATATCTCTCATCATGACTGAAGATGGTACTTGCCAGAAATAGGTGGTTGTCAGAACACTGTTTCAGAAAACTGTTAAAATTAGGGGGGATGGGTGAATTAAAAAAACACAACTATTTTTTCGCATAATCTAGTCCACTAGTTTGAATGTGAAGCTTACTCGTTACAACGACTACATCTGAGTATCCAGCTTTTCCTATGGGATTAGGGGGCTCTCAGTAGAACTTATTATTTAATTACTTCAATTTGAAGTTAGCAGCAACATACGATTTGAAAAAAACCATGTCCATTCTGATTCGAGAGAAAATGCTGACAAAACTCCAAATACCCATATGGAAAAGTACATAAGCTAACCATATTGACAAGTTATGCTCTAAAACGTGATAATTCTTATGGCTTTATTATTGGAGCCTATTACCTGATCTGATAGTCCGACAATCAAAAGCTTTAAAACGTAATCCTGTGTTATTTTAAAAGCCAAAGAACGGCATTTCTTAAGTTTGAAATGTCGACAGTAGCTACATGAGAAAAATAAGTTGGAGCTAGTGAGGAAGGGTCGGTAATAGGGATTAAAATATCTGAACATCATAAATGTCTTATGAATCAGAGTCTTGGAATCTGTCAAAATTAAATTACAATTAACTTCAAGTCATTCAATTTAAATAACTTAGTAATCCAAGGAATTCAATCAATCTTAAAGTAGTCTTTATTATGAAATTTATATGTATACATAATGACACGTTAATCAAGAAAACCTGCCAAGCGGTTTATCTTACCTTCTTTTTAGCTTTGTTCCAATGAAATAAAAATATAAAGCCATAAACAATTTCAGTGATAGGTTTAGATAAGTCATAAATTTCCTCCACTTGAACTCCTTGAACTCCAAAATCTTCCAAAAGTAAAGTAAATAACCCAGGGTCGCTTTCCAACTCCAGCCATTCTGCCTGACTCATAGTGCTTGTAACTAGAATAGAAAGAATGGTAAAATATCCAAAAAATCTTTAGATAAATATAAAACTAAAATAGAAGTATTACATTTAAAGGTCTCTTAAAAGGCCATAAAGTAACATTACAGTATACTCTCTGAAAGTGAATAAGTTCATTTGCGGTCAATTCACTAAGTAACATCTTGATACTTTGACCTTTGATAGCACAACAAATTAAGCAATCACATATATAAAAAACCAAAATAGCTCGTTTGTATCATCTAGTAATATAAATACAAACGCTATCCAAAATGTAGACTGAAGAGACACCTTCGCCTACTCATTTCCCGAATAGTAACTACTTCATTCCCAAGCGTTTACACATCATCAACTTTATTTTGGAGTTGTTCTTACTTAAACTTTTCAAAATTAAGAGATAAAAATTCAGCTTGGTGTTGTATGTCGACAAAAGGATCGATAGAACTAATTCAGAATTTTAACCAAGATTAGTCTAATGACAACCGAATTCATAAACAAATCCCGTATCAAAACTGAGACGAACGAATAACCTAGTCACAGACAGTCAGTAACAACGTAGAACTTCGTACGTACGTACATCAGTTCGAGTTGCCATACCACATTAGCACAGCGATGCAGTTGTTGATTCAAATCCCATAGTGGTAGAAATAGTAAGAGTATAAACATTATGTGAAAGATTAGGGTTTGAAGATGTTATTCAGGCAGTATAATCCAGTGAAGCAAATTTGGAGAGAGAGAAAAGAAAGGGACATGAGATTCACAAGATCAGAATTTGGTAGAACACAAAGAGTGGATGCACCTTCGCCACTGCAAATGATTTTGAGCCATGTCATTCAGGGTCTCTAACCATCGGTTACCATCATCTCGTGGATCCCAACCAGGTAGTCTACACCTACCAACATGGCTCAGTCCACTTGTCAGTGACTTCATGGATTTGTGCCACGTTTGAGTCTGGCCACCCCAACCTTTCTTCCAACCTAGTCCTACACCATAAAACATCGCACGTCGGGGCAGTCGGTGGTTGGGCATACGTAACACATGTCCCAGACATCTCAACTGATAAGGTTTCACTACTTCATCAATCGATTTGCCATCCTCACCTAGAACCCGTTTCCTAACAACTGCATTGCTTACTCGGTGGTCCCAGAATATACGAGTAATGCTTCGGAGACACCTATGATCGAATACTAATAATCTAAAAATATTTTTTACTCTTACTAGCCGTGTTTCACTGCTATGAAGTAAAAACAGAGCGAACTGCTGAGCAGTATACTCGTCCCTTAATTGATAGACGGATATCTCGCCTACGCCATAAATGACGCAAGTTGGCAAAAGCTAGACGAGCCATCTGTATCAGTGCTATGATTTCGTCACACACCAGACCACAAGGGCTGATGACACTTCTAAGATAAGTGAGGCGGTCGACACGCTCAATTGCTTCATCCCTTTTCATTAATCCAGGTGCCGATGCAATCTAACCCTGAAGCAGCATTTTGCATTTCGAAGGGGAGAATCGCATCACGAACATGCCTGCATTGTGCTTATAGTGGTTAAAAGACTGCATTTTGTCAGCGTCTTGATCAAATAGAACTATGTCATCGGCATATTCTAGGTCTCCGAGAGAATCTCCCAGTAAAAGTTCAACTCCTGGAAATTTAGATGAGGAAAGTGTTATCCCTAAAAATAAGTCAACGACAAAGTAAAACAAGAATGGAGAGAGTGGTCAATAATTATGGTGTCTACCCACCTACTTAATTTAGTGGATTACAGTTATGAGTTCACAAATAAAATACTCCAGATGCATTTTTTTGCATAGATGAGCTAAATGTTATTTAGAATAGAATTAAATGGGTTCAATTTTTAGGTCAAAAGAACATTACCAAAAGTAAAAGGACAATCACTCGCAATATCGATGTAAAAAATCGTCTTGAGTTTAAATGTTTCAGTATGCTGTTACTTACTTACTAACTAACGCCTGTTACTCCCAATGGAGCATAGGCCGCCGACCAGCTTTCTCCAACCCACTCTGTCCTGGGCCTTCTTTTCTAGTTCTATCCAGTTCTTGTTCATTCTTCTCATGTCTATCTCTATTTCTCGGCGTAATGTGTTCTTTAATCTTCCTCTTCTCCTTTGACCTTCAGGATTCCATGTGAGGGCTTGTCTTGTGACGCAATTAGCTGATTTCCTAAAGGTGTGCCCAATCCACTTCCAGCGCTTCTTCCTGATTTCTTCCTCCACTGGAATCTGGTTTGTTGTCTCCCACAATAACTTGTTGCTGATAGTGTCTGGCCATCTGATCCAAAGTATCTTGCGTAGACAGCTGTTAATAAACACTAGTATCTTCTGGATAATGGCTTTCGTAGTTCTCCACGTCTCCGCCCCATACAGTGGAATTGTCTTGACATTTGTATTGAAAATTCTAACCTTGGTGTTGGTTGACAATTGTTTTGAGCTCCAGATGTTTTTCAGTTGTAAGTATGCTGCTCTTGCTTTGCCGATCCGCGCCCTCACATCTGCATCTGATCCACCGTGTTCATCAATGATGCTGCCCAGATATGTAAAAGTTTCCACATCCTCCAAAGCTTCTCCGTCAAGTGTAATTTGATTGGTGCATATTGTATTGTATCGGAGTCTTGCTTTTCTCTTTGTTTATATTGAGACCTACTGCTGCTGAGGCTGCTGCTACACTGGTCGTTTTCTCCTGCATTTGTTGTTGCGTTTGTGATAGAAGAGCCAGATCATCCGCGAAGTCTAAATCGTCAAGCTGCATCCTGTCTGTCCACTGTATCCCGTGCATTCCTCCAGATGTTGACGTCTTCATAATCCAGTCGACCACCAGAAGAAAGAGAAAGGGTGAGAGTAAGCAAACTTGCCTGACACCGGTCTTTACTTCAAACGAGTCGGTGAGTTGTCCTCCATGGACAATTTGGCAGTTTAGTCCATCATAGGAGTTCCATATGATATTGACTATTTTCTCAGGCACGCCGTAGTGTCGAAGAAGCCTCCATAGTGTCGTCCTGTCCACACTATCAAATGCCTTCTCGTAGTCGATGAAGTTGATGTAGAGTGATGAATTCCATTCGATTGATTGTTCCACAATGATACGTAGAGTTGCGATTTGATCTGTGCACGATCTATCCTTACGAAATCCAGCTTGTTGATCACGAAGTTGGGCGTCCACTGAATCCTTCATCCTGTTTAACAATACCCTGTTGAAGACTTTCCCTGGTATTGAGAGGAGAGTGATGCCCCTGTAGTTGTCGCACTTGCTGAGATCGCCTTTCTTTGGTATCTTGATCAGAAGTCCTTTTCTCCAGTCTACTGGTACTTGTTCTTCATCCCAAATCTTACTGAAGAGGATGTGGAGTATCTTGGCAGTTGCTGCTACGTTTGCCTTCAGTGCCTCTGCCGGGATGTTGTCTGGTCCTGCTGATTTGCCGCTCTTGATTTGTCTAATGGCCATGCTGATCTCTTCAATTGTTGGTGGGCCAACATCGATGGGGAGGTCTGTGGGTGCTGCTTCGATGTTGGGTGGGTTCCGTTGGAGTTGGTCGATTCAAGAGTTCCTTGAAGTTTTCTACCCACCTGTTTCGTTGTTCTTCAATGTCGGTGATTACTTCGCCTTCCTTGCATTTCACTGGTCTTTCTGGCTTACGGCAATTTCCAGCAAGTTTCTTTGTCGTATCATACAGTTGTCTCATGTTTCCCTCCTCTCCTGGTTCTCACATCCTCCATCGTCCTCCTGAACTTTTTGTTGATGCAGATATGGTCGATTTGATTCTGTGTAGTGTGATCCGGTGAAATCCAAGTGGCTTTGTGTATGTTTTTGTGTGGGAATATGGTGCCACCTATGACCAGTTTATTGAAGGCACATAGGTTTGCAAATCTCTCACCACTTTCGTTCCTTTCTCCTAGTCCATGTTGTCCCATGACGTCTTCGTATCCAGTGTTGTCCTTTCCAACCTTGGCATTGAAATCTCCCATCAGAATGGTCAGGTCCTTGGTTGGGCACTTCTCGAACATCGACTGCAGTCTATCGTAGAATTGGTCTTTAGCGTCTTCATCGTAGTCGTTGGTAGGCGCATAGCATTGGATGACGTTCATTTTAATGCCCTCTCTCTTTGTTTTGAAGGAGGCTTTGATGATCCTTGGTCCATGAGATTCCCATCCAATAAGTGCATTTTGTGCTTTTCTGGACAGCATCAATGCAACTCCTTGTGTATATGGGGCATTTTCTTCTTCATGACCGGAGTATAACAGAAGTTCTCCCGAAGACAGTCGTTGTTGTCCAACCTGCGTCCAATGTGTTTCACTGATTCCAAGCACTTCTAGGTTGTATTTTCTCATTTCTGCAGCAATTTGGAAGACTCTTCCGGTCTCCCACATTGTTCGGACATTCCATGTACCTATAAAAATTGTCGCTCTGGTTGTAAGAAGGTGCATCGGCCTCATGACTTCCGAAGGAACTCGGCTTTTATCATGAGACGTCATAATTATTCCTTCTACTCCCAGGGCAGAGTTTGAATGGTTTGAATATTTTTTTGGTTAGCGTTTTTTTAGCGAGTTGATTTTCTACGGGATGGGGTCGCTAACCCCATGCCCAACCCTCCTCCTTTACCCGGGCTTGGGACCGGCAGTAACCCCCAGAGGAGCTACAGGCGGAGTTTTCAGTATGCTGTAGTTGAAGAAAATATAAATAAATACTGTTATCTTCCCCACAATGTTTAAATACGTCTACAGTACGAATGTCTCATATACAGCTCCGTCTGCATAACTTATTATTCCATTTCATAAATCTTCAGGGTAAACAGTCGTAGTTCACTTGAATCACTAAGCTATCAAAGCGCAGTTTAAACTGGTGATATACAGAGTCTAAGTTAATCTAATTTATACCATTTCTATCGTCTATGACAGAACAGGAATTTGACTACATCAGACATTTTAAATCATTTACAACACAAAATGCCGGTACAACACAGAGCTGAATGTTTCAAGTAAGATAGCATGATAATATTCTGGAGATACATCCATTTAGTTCAACCAAAAGTAAAACTACTGATAATTGCATGTAAATTTAGACAGACCGATATTTTCTTGATAACTCCATATATCGCTAATTTTTCAGATTTTCTTGACCTATCGCTTGGGTACCCAAATAAAAATGATAGATAATTATAAGATGAACTAGATAACTTAACAGTGATGTATCAAAATAAAGTAAGTGTTATCAGTCCTTATTTCAGGAGGAAGTGAGGTATTCAGCTTACTTATAGACTACCTACCGCGAGATAATAGCAATCGATGGTTAAAGACCTTGAATGACATGGCTTAAAATCGTTTGCAACGGCACAGGTGCATACACTCTTTGTGTTCTGCCAATTTCTAATCTTCTGAATTCTTCATGTCTCTATCTTTTTTCTCTTTCCAAATTTATTTCATTGGGTTATACTCCTTCAATAACATCTTCAAACCCTAATCTTTCACATAATGCTTATACTCTTACTATTTCTACCGCTATGGGATTTGAATCAACAACTGCATCTCTGTGCTAATGTGGTATGGCAACTTGAACTGATGTACGTGCGTACGAAGTTCTACGTTGTGATTGACTGGCTGACTATAGACACCAGTAGTTAGTGAGATTTCTCACAATAGTTTTTGAAATACTCAGTATCTTTTTCTGTTCAAGACCAGTTTCAAATTCTACTGCCTTGTGAACACTCGCAAGAAATACTTTACCAGTGACGAGAAAAACTCCAACCGACAGATCGTGAGCTTTGTTGTGACGGTTTATAATTGCATTCTTGTATAATGCTCATAATACCTACATGTAGAATCTATCAAACTAAAAACTCCAAGTGCAGGCAATTTTGTCCCCACGGTAACTAACCTAAAAAGAGCGAAATCTGCATTTCAACGATATCCAAATAATCAAGTTTATTACGGTTAGAAAAGACCAGAATAAAACTTGTCCTAACCACAAGTCATGAGTCCTCAAAAGTTGAGAGAAATGAAGACGTTAATAGGAATAGAAATGATACCTTTCCAAAATACTAAACAACCAGCACACCAAGTATTGGCGCTACATCTCACTCAAAAATAAAAATACCCATGAGTGATTGATAAATACGTGTAAGTCTAATATAGATCGTAGTCATTCATAACCAACATAGAACCTAGTACATGTGTGAATGGATCTAATTGCGATATATTTAAATGCATCCTTATTTACTCCATCAGTCCACTTAACCCGCTTTGTCAGTCGCAAGCCAAACTGCTAAGGTCTTTCTTCTGACCGAAGCACAGTGCACGCAAGATCAATAGGTATGTGTTCAACTCAGAAAAAATTATACTTCCTATAACACCAGAGACTAGTCATTGTATAGGGAATTACGGGGTAAATGTATCCTAAAAATCAAAGTTGCTTGTAGTGAGCCACGAAACCTCAGAAAATTTAATCTTCGTACTCATTGGGATATTACAAATATATCACTCTTATTAGTAAAAATCAAATAGAATAGAATAAGTTACCAAACCACCTCGACCGAATCTGTATAAAACGAAATCAAGCTGTTATGCAGCTTGATGAATAAAAAGGTTTATCTTGCATCAAACATATTGGATCAGCGTTCCTTAACGGCACTTAACGCCCACAACGAGGTTACTATCCTACTCAATAAGAAATTCCAATGTAATTACTCCTACCCAAATATATCTCTTTCCGTTGACAGTTGCCCCAACTTATTCTATAGTGGCCCAATCACTGTGGAATTCAGGCGTCCCAACAGCAAAGAGACACTGAGGCATTTGAGCCCATACACATCTGTAAGCCAAGATGTATTCAGATCTTGAATCATACAGAAACGTAAAGATATACTTAGCTTTCCTCTTGCAACTAACTTCCAGGACTCAATTATCAAGAGTAAACTATGTTTCAATCAAGAAAGTAACTGTCCTTGCACGAAAAAGGTTGCTGCTACCTTAACGTGATGGTCGAGCTTGACTATCATGATGAACCAATCGAGCTATACTGGCTGGAACGATCGTTCCTCAAGGTCCTACCATGCCAGAAAGGTCAGTTGCAGAGCGGTAAGACTAAAAGCAGCAAACCCAAGGTCCGAAGGCGAAGTCGTACTGCTGACTGCACAGAGGCGTGACGGCAGTAAGGTGTTTCCCTCAGACAACCAGAACGCCTGTGCCCCCAAATGCCCTGGTACGGTCGAGGGTGGGGAGAGTCCGCTCTCCCTCCCCTAATGCTCTCACATGGTCACGCGTATAAAGTCTCTGCCAGGGAAGTCCTACTCACCGCCTTCTCGTGGCGGGGGTATTGTTTACGAAACTGAGAGGACGAAAAGCGAATGTCCGGCGCCTTAACCGGGTTGGTGGACACGGCGCGTCCACCTAGGGGAGTTGGAAAACCCTGATTCCAAACCAATGGTGCACATGGGTTCAATTATCCTGAGGAAACAAATGGCGTATGAAATAATTGTTGGCCACCGGCTACCATGGGACTGCATCTCCTTACGATGCTTCACTGCCTTGTGGGTGAAACCTTTAGGTCAAAGGCTCTGAGTGTGGCCCCCTAAGAAAACCACCTGCTTCAGTTTAGGTGCCTGGGCAGTATCACAGCCCTCACACAAATCGAGATTTGTGAGGCGCATATGTATTTGGTGCTTCCTTGTACCAATATTTGTGTTTAAATAAATAAATAAATAAAACAAGAACAACAGAGATGTTGCCTACCCCACAAGGAGGGGTGGGGTTAGAAAAGGTCGTCCTTAAAAATGCACATCTCGCCTTATCCCATGGATGTGTCGTCTCCGTCGGTAAGGTCCCAACAAGTACGGAGCTAACACAAAATCACCTACAAAAGGTCGTGGGTGACCGACCTCAAGCAGTTGTCCCTTGGACACGGCGGTCACGCTTTCTGGTCACTAAGACCACTTCTAATCCAATTTCCTTTTCAGGTACCTCCAGAAGAACCCTTCCACGGTGTAGGCATCCGGGAAGTGATAACTGCCCTCATACCTTTAACAGCACTCAAGATCACTGACTGAACAAGATAGGAACTGCCAATTTCTAACTTTTTTTGCTGTTCGTAGTTGTGACAGTCAAGCAAAGTAACAAATGAATTGTTTGAGCGGTGGTTTAGCATGAAGGGTGTGTGATTTTGAGCCGCTATCACAAACTTTAACCACACCCACATATTTTGGTTTGGGTAACCGGATAGAACCAATGACCTGGAATAGCTGGACACTCAGTGGAACATAAGTTCTGCATATATAGGCTTCTTAAATTTCTGCAAGGCATTCGACATTGTTAATCATAGAATCCGTTGCTAAAAACTGAAATCACTAAGCACCAGTGGATACTTAACTAAATGGATACAGAATTACCAAATGAAGAGGCTAAAAGCAGTTAGAAATTGTTTTCGTATTAGTTCATGATGTTGAACAGAGTACAAGTGTCCATATTCAGATCACTTCTATTACATGTTAATGGTCTACTAAATAATCCCGGCATTAAGGTCGTGCTACATGAGAACAAACTTAAGATTTAAAGGGAGATGTAAGTTATCATCGACATCTACTCTTTAAGAAAACTTGAGTAGAATAAATGATTGTGCCACCAAGAACTCTCTCATAATATCAGTAGATGCGAAATTACAAAAGTGAATAACAGTGGGACATCGACCTCATAACTTCTGAGCGATTCCATTATCGCTTTTAGATCCGTAGAAAAGTGCTTGAAAAGTGCCCCATTTGATATGATAGATGTCCATTACTATTCAGAGTCTGCAGCCAATAAATCAGGCGGTTATATGGTTTCTTCTTAGGATTATAAGCGATCTGAGAACTGAAACTATTTGTAATGCTTGAATTTTAGGTCCCCCTTCACCTCAAAGGACCATTAAGACGTCTAAGTACCAAACTACACTTACGTGAACATTACCACGGCAGAACACGGAAAAGAGCTCACAAATATACGTGAAAAACTTGTCGTGGTTACACCTTACAATTCACTTTTAGAATTGAGAAAGACTGAAAATACCATTAATGTTTTCTTGAAAAGACTTTAAATTTACTTTCTTTTACAAGGCACTGAGAGGAGACTTGTTGACGTGAAACTCTCCTATCATTCCTAGTGGTAATTATTCCCCTATACTTTTAAGCCTCTTAAAAACTAAAACAAGTTACACTGTTCCATAACTATAAAACCTTTCCAGTAACCCCGAGAGAAATACCAAGGAACAAGCAGTTTGGTACTTCCCTTCAGCAATTTGAAAGTTCTAAGTGTGGAACCATATAAACCGACATTCCACTTTGAAAGTCGACTTAAAAAGAGTCCCAAATAATACATCACTTAATATCAAGTCAAAGTAACTGATTACGAACTTCTTTTCATATCGTTTGGTCAAAAGATGGATGATTAGAGCACTTTCATAAACTACTAGCCTTATTTTTGACAAAATATCATTAAAAACAGAAAATACTAACATGCATTAAATAAAGTTGCATTTTATTAAGGCCTAGTGATGACAAAAAATCAACATAAGCTACAAAGTCCACAATCTCACTTCGGACATCAGTCAGGTACAGCCCAAGACGAAACTGGCACAAGAATCTTAATATTTCAAATGTCAACCTGTCAGAAATCCAGAAGTCAAAATATGTTTCATTAAATCCAGAACGTATACAGTGATAATTATTTTAAAGAATCCTATTTTTTAGCCAGAAAGATTTATACATAGTATAATACTATAGTATTATACTGTTACTAAAAAGTTAAAAGAAACGGATTCATGATGAAAACTCTAATGGGAGGATTACAACTACTCTCAGATCTTGTTGAATAGTCATTCATCTTGTGTATGTATTAGTATCTTCCGAATTTTCCCGAACAAAGTATTTAGATGTCAATAATCTCCTATAAACTACTTCAAAGTCATCAGAACCCCAGATCTACTAAAAGTATTCACGTTCTGTTTTTTTCTCTTTTCCAGAACGGCTGGAAAAGAACGACGAAGTTTCCCAAGGAACCGAAATTTTCATTGTATTTTATTTCTTTATTGTTATGTTGTACCTCGTGGTCCCTTAGTTTAAGGAAAGACGACCAGACGCTGCTAAACGAAGCAAGCTATCAGAAGAGTGTTTACCAACGACAAACTCGTTGGGTTTAAACTTCTGGCTGGTTATGTCTTAGGGGCATCACTACCTCACTAGGGAGGGAGTGATCTGTAGCTGTAAATAATTCCCCAAAACCAATAGCTTTCTAAGTGTTCGAAATTGGATGCTGACCACGTTGTTTAAGTGGACTTGTTTAACTGAAGGCTTTCGGTCATGCATCCGTACCAGATCACGTTGCAACTCGGCGTGGGATCTAGCTCCTACGTTTCAATAGTCAGCTAAGAACGAACGCCTCTCGATATATTGGTAACGTATCAAATATATCTTTCCTACCTTTTCTCGTCTGACTTCTGATTTCTATTTGGCCAAAAGGGTTTCGATTATAGAAGGTGCTACTGGTAGCTAATTGTAAAGTTAGAATACTAGTCGTATCCTCAACGATATTACTTTTAATTTCGGACCACGGCATTTTTGATTTTTAAATAGATGGTTTTTATATGATAGGCTTTCCGTCACTGACATCAATAGGATTTTAAGTGACTCTCGGTTCGAGAAAAGAGTTCGTGAGAAATGGAACAGCTTTCAGAGATATACATACAGTAGTGAGCAACCGAGAAGTTATCGCATAAACGACATAACTTGACTGAAAACCACTTAGTGAAAGAGGATATTCGTATGTTTTGCCATTGTACACTACATTGAGAACAATAGGACTACTGAAACGTCACTTTTAGGTTGCTACCGAAAGCTCTGCCTAAGCGCTAAGTCTCCAAGAAATGAGCATGATTAGGATCCCATGAGACTAACTTAGTGTCATCAAACTTAGTCATGAATTCTGTATCTCATAGAGATGGTTTTTGGTCCGATTTTATTTAGTTCAGTATGACCCTTTTTAACGAGAACTCATCACTTGGTGAGCCTTCTTCTACCGCCATCTCATAGGATGTCTGTCAACGTTTGTTAAAGATTTGCACCAAATGATCTGGCAATTTATAGTCTGCAGCGCTATCCTAAGTGCGAGCTAACACCCAAATCTTGGTTCGAGGTAATCAAAGACCGAATCATGTAATTGGGTCTTTTAATTTTTTGTTTGTATGCAAAATAATAACTATGGTTGGATAACACCGGCTAGGACACCGTAGTACTTAATATGGACATGCTAAATGAACACATTTATGTGCTGATTTCCGAAGAAGATATCTGACTGGCCATAAAGCAGTCAAATGCAACGATCAGATTCCGTTGTCTGGATTGGGACCAGCTGTGAGGTTACTTCGAATACTTTGTGTGTGAATCCTTCCAATATTCCATGCATGTCTATTTATCTACCTCTTAATCGTACTCCACTTCCATATTGATGTACAAATACTTGAGACACGCTATGTGACATTCTGGATAGTCTGTATTTATTTTAATACAATGTATATTGGATTATTTTAATGCAGTGTTGGAGTTACTTCACTGCAGTATAATCTGTGAATATTCTATTGCCAGTCTTGCCTCTGTTGCAATGCATTTTTTGGTGATACTTAGTCACAGTGTCGAAATAAATCCAGGCCATTACTAACAGGTCTAATTCTGGCCAAAGATTTCTATCGAAGCTGAATAACTGTTGCGGGGAATGCGTAGCATGGCTTGCCCATTCGTTATGTGGTTCGAATTCGTGACTGAGCATCTTCAGCTAATGTGTGTCAGGCAAAGCTCAAGAGGTTAGCATCAGTGTCAATGACTTACAGAACTGAAGATGCCACAAGTATTCGGACATTGACAAATTTTTAACCAGTAACACCTTTGATAACCGAAATGTGCCCACCCAGTAAAATCAAAAATCAGAACTGAGGATTTTCGAAGATACATGCCGATAGGTTACAAATATATCGCGAAATGACTGATCCAAACTGACTAGCGATTGTAAAGGTTGAGCATGGCGTACCCACTCGTGATCTGGTGTGGATGCATGGCCGAGCGCCTTCCGCCAGATGAGTCCGTAAATGGCGTCGAGTCTCGATTGACTATGATCACCACTACGGTAAGATTACGCGCCCGAAAACAACTTGGTTCCTTCGATGGGTAGTAAACTAGAAGGCTGTAATTGGTCCAGATAAGGTATATTTATTGACGGTCTCGTGGTATCGAAAGAATATCAAGACGTGCCAAGGGATACAGGCAAAAAGGCAGAGCACAAGAAAGTTCGAAAGGAAAGTGCTTTTGATACAGCTGAACAAAACGAGTACAGTAAAACTATCACTGGTACAATCGGTTTTAATAACAATTTTTTATAGCAGAAAGCATGAGTCAATTGAAGCTAGACCACCATGAAAAACCTGGAAACACTGGACGGCCGTTTCGTCCTATTATGGGACTCCTCAGCAGTGCGCATCCACGAACCCGCTCTCGCGAGCGAGATTCGAACCCAGGACCTACCAGTCTCGAGCCGAAGCCCTTAACCGAGAGACCACTGAGCTGGCATCTAACGGTGTTAATGTCTAACTTCAACTGATCCACGAAGTTGAGCAACCATTCACCAATTGTCTTCAATGAGTTCCTATCTCACAACAGACGTGGTTTTGAACTCCACTGGTCACTGCTTCTCACTAGAGCTCTTAGTTATACTTCTCGAAGTCACTAGTGAGCATATGATTATAATAATTATCAGAAGGGGTTTTGTGGAGATTTAGTATTTTTCATAGTAGCAATTATTTACCTAAAATATGATGATGTCACGAAGATGACCTATATTATCGAGTAACACTAATTACGATATATTTGTAAATGCATTAGTATTTTGTTTTGTTTCAAAGTTCAGTTTGACATTCATATGGTCTTACACATAGATTATAGGTTATGCTCAGATACTTGTGTCAATAGTTTTATTATTGTTTTACAAATTTATACGTTCAAATCTGTCGAAACAATATTTTAGTGCTTTTGAAAAATGCTCGTATAATTATGTCTATTGAAAGTACCCTGGAAAACCATGGAAAACCTGGAAACACTGGACGGCCGTTTCGTCCTATTATGGGATTCTTCAACTAAAGGATAAGTTACCTAGTTATGCAACTTCTACGTGTATCTACAAGTGAAGCTGCTCCTGTGGAGAAAACTATATTGGGCGCACTACCAGACAACTGAACTAAAGCGTTAGTGAACACCTCTCTCCGTGGTTAGGAAAAGATAATGTCAAGAAAATATGCAGCTCGGTTCTTTCACAATCCATCGATAGCGGTCATATAGTAGACAGAAATAAGTCATTTGTCGTATTCTTACTGGTTTCCCTTATGGGGTTGGACCTCGTCTCTTACACATAGCAGAAGCTATAGGAGTCAACAATCCAAGCCTTGTGTTCATAAGATATTTGTTACACCCTTAACCTTAATGATTTTATTTTCCATTCTCTTTCTTCGTTTATTTTTCTTCAACCCCTCCTACCAATTTTTCCCCTCAAATATACGTTTCACGGTCCAATTATCTGAACATTTATTACGCAATCTTATAATTTCTATGATTGTTATTTCAGTGTCTATATTTTTCTAATCATTGGCCTATTTCCCATTGTGTAACATTGGTCCAAGCCTTTATTATTCTTATCACAACTAGTACACCTGTCATCACACTACCAATTTGTAATTTCCCCTTATTATGTTCAGTTATGTAATCTATTCCACTGTTATCATTGAGTCATAAACTGTCTTGATTGGTTTAATAATTTCGTATATACATATAAATATTAATGTGTATTAGAATAAAGTTGAAAGCGCGAGTCAATTGAAGCTAGGAGCTCTAGTGAGAAGCAGTGACCAGTGGAGTTCAAAACCACGTCTGTAGTGAGATAGGAACTCATTGAAGACAATTGGTGAATGGTTGCTCAACTTCGTGGATCAGTTGAAGTTAGACATTAACACCGTTGGATGCCAGCTCAGTGGTCTCTCGGTTAAGGGCTTCGGCTCGAGACTGGTAGGTCCTGGGTTCGAATCTCGCTCGCGAGAGCGGGTTCGTGGATGCGCACTGCTGAGGAGTCCCATAATAGGACGAAACGGCCGTCCAGTGTTTCCAGGTTTTCCATGGTGGTCTAGCTTCAATTGACTCATGCTTTCTACTATGAAAAATACTAAATCTCCACAAAACCCCTTCTGATATAATAATAATTGTTTTCATTATACCACTCGTGTTCTCGTCGAGAAAAGTAGTTCACTACAAGTCCATTAAAAACAATGTGGTCAGAACCAAATGTCGGAAACTTACAGAGCGAATGATTTTGGGGATTTATTTACTGCTACAGATCATTACCCATCGTTTGACGAAGGCACGGGCCACTATTTCAGCATCAATGTCCCTCATGGGTACTACTTCTGGTTATGGAACGAAAGAGTCTACACAGGTTAGAAGATAAGAGTATCCATTTGAATCTGGTAAAGGTCCTACTCACTCCAGATGAACATGGTCGGTATGAGCAGCAGGAGTTCTGAAAGAGCCTAAGGGACATTTGTTGTGTCTAATCACCTTAGATTTCTTACAGCTTACACAGAATCGTGCCCACTACCTCACATCTTTATTCATACTA